GGCATCTTCAGAGGACAGCACTGTCCTCTGAAGATGCCGGCCACAGAGACTGGCGAAATGTTAGGAAGAGCAACCTTCAGAATATGGCCAAAGACCCCGAAAAACCCATAACAACCAAAAGAATGGTTTCATTTACCAAAATCCTGTTACAAAAATAGCAGTTGCATAGCCATTTCCCTCCTTTGGCAGCCTGTATGTGCTTGTTTGCACAACTACTCATATTCTTCACAGATGTACAGTTTTGTAACCCATGCAGAATGGCTTATATAAAACACAAGGGGTACTGTATCTATGGTGGGTTTATAGAAGGATACTTTTCTTAGTCACACAAATACTCTGTAACATTACTTCTTCATCGTGGTCTTCTGTGAATGCACACAAAAGGGTTAACCCAGCACCAGCGTTGGTCCTCTCGGAACATTCTCGAGCTTCAAGAGAAAAGTAACAAAGTTTAAGGCTGCCTATACCGTGCATGCTCCACCCACCCAAGCCTCAGTTCCATTTTTCCGCCTAGCGATTTGGAACCTCTCGCTTTGAGCTCTGTCTTTTCAACCTATTTCTATGGATTTTTCGTGTTTTTTCGACCAGACTGTACTGACTACGAGAACTGCTATATCCCTGGACCTCCTCTTTCACAGACTCTGCTTTAGTGTTTTTCCCTTCGAACTGGCTGCCTCGGATTTCCCGCCTTTTTTCCCTCGCCTTGCAACAGCTCCCTATAGACCTTCTTAGCTTTATGTTCCCTTCAGGGCCTTTCAGCCGTTGTGTGCTTTGTGATCGGAAGATACCCCACCAGGACGGGCATGATCATTGCCTTTTGTGCCTGGGAGAAGCCCACTTATTAAAGGCAAAATCCTGTAAACACTGTAAGGTTTTTACTAAGGCGGCTTTGAAAGCCAGGCAACAATACCATCTGTGGGAGTCCACACTGTCTTCCCCCAAGCCCTCGGACATGGAGCTTGCCTCACCGTCAGCTACTCCTCATTCCGAGTCCACAGCTTCCCCTCAACCATCTACTTCTAAGACGGGCAAAACCGTGAAAAAGTCTGCTTCCGCTAAAAAAATCTGGCAAAACTTCAGATATCGCTTCAGTTCCAGCTCCTAAACCTGCAAAGCAAGCAAAATCTAAAGCTGCGGTTAAAGCGAAGGAGCCTTCCATCCATCTTCCTCTGATATCTGAATCATTACCATCACCGATTTTGGAGGAGTCTTCAAGAGATTGTGAGTCTTTGTCGGAGGCAGCACCATCTCTGCCTCCTCGACAAGCTGAGCCGGTTATTCCGCAAGGCGTCTCTTCTCCGATGCCGAGTCAGCTTTCTGGAACCACTGCAGGCCTGACTTCTGCCCCACAAAGCCCAGTTTCTCATGGGCAGGTGTCTTCGGCTCTTTTGATCTTCTCAGTGCCTTCGAGGTTGAGGGTTAACTGAGGCTGAAGAGAATGCTGAGAGATCAGAAACACCTGAACCACCTCCAGATTCTCCTTCCCCAGCAGACAAGCTTCGGGTCAGGCTTCGGGAAAGACTTAGGACAAAAAGGTCAGAGGATCGCTCGAAGGCTGTCCACAGAAATATCCGTTCAACTAGCCCTGAGTATTAACAGGATGGAAAGGTTTCCAGCAGCTCAAGGAGCTGTTTTACTAACATCAGGGTCCTTTCCAGGGAGTCTTCTTTTCTCATGAGATGGCCAAAGTATTGGAGCCTCAGCTTCAGGATCTGTCCTTCCAGTGAGCACTCAGGGTTGATTTCCTTTAGAATGGATAGGTTCTTCATCGTGGTCTTCTGTGAATGCACACAAAAGGGTTAACCCAGCGCCCTTCAGACTTTCAACAGCTCCTAGGACATTCGCAAAGGTCATGGTACCTGTGGCAGCTTACCTACTCCTCAACAGCATCCACGTCTACCCTTACATAGACGATTGTCTGGCAGTCTCTCCATCCAGGACTCAGGCCCTGAAAGACACAAAATTCATTCTCTGGCTGCTGCCAAAACTAGGCCTCACCATCAACAGGGAGAAGTCACATCTCCAACCCTCCAAGGTAGTGCATTACATCGGAGCACGACTAGATGCCATCAGAGGTCGAATTTTTCTGCCCAGGGAACGAATCCAAAAAATACGAAGGGCTCTCAAGAAGTTTCGGCCAAAGGCCCGCGTGAGGGCGAAACATGTTCAACATCTGTTCAACAATCCTGTACATTTCTATTCAGAAATAAATCAGAAAGGCCAAAATCCTGTCATTTAACATGCTCAATATGCTTGCTTAACATACCAAGTCACACTAGAGTATGATTTACTATGCTAAGCAGTGTATCAGTGAGGATATGGTGAGTCATAAGTATAATAATGTCATAGAATAAGTTCTATTAATTCAAATGGATCTGCTCTATAACTGTGACTTACTATACTAAAGTAAGTTGCAGTTAGACTAGGCAAGTGGATATTATTGAATGCATCGATATTATGGAGGGGTTGGCTCACCAAATCCCCTTTGATTCAATGGGCCTACTTTAGTGTAACTTTACTACATTAAACAACAAGATCTTTAGACAAGGCTCTTAGTGCGGCTTTGGTTGGTTGGACAGCTCAGTGGCGTAAGTATCTGACTGTGGAGCCAGAGGTTGGGAGTGAATCCACACTGTGCCTTCTGGAAGAAGAGTCAGCCTGTGCAGGCCTGTGTGTAAGTGTGCTGTCAAGTCAGTTCTGACTTTCATGAGCAAAAGTCAGAATTGGCTTAACAGCAGACTTACACACAGTGGGGCTTTGTTTCAGGTTTGTTTGTTTCTTATTTTTTCTTGAATCACTTCTGGTTGGCCTGAAAGATCATGGAACAAGGAAAGTGTTGAAGGAGGAATAAAATGCAAGGATGAAATTACCTGTTGGCATTCAGACAATTAAACAATGAATATCCATCATATCTGAATTTTCCCTCTTAAAACCTCCATGTATATCCAGGAAACATAGAACAGTTTGATTACTCAGTGTTGTTTAACACAATGCATTCAGAAATACAATATTTTATTTATCATCATTTCTGCTGAAATCTTTTTTCTTTAGCATAGTTAATCTCCTGCCTTTAAAGGCTGTGAAAGCTTCTAATAAATTCAGGAAATTATGAAACAAACAAACAATAATCCATTTTTAAAATAAAGGATGTGTGGCTATTATTTCTCCAAAGGACATTCTATTTTTGCAGGATGGGTGGATCGAGCCTAAAACAAATAGCCAAGAAAATAGCCAAGAAAACATAAAATAAATTAAAATTATGGGAAAGAATAAAACAAAAATAGTAGTACGCAAGATTGATCCTCTGCCCTTTAAAGTAAAGACAGTGAACACCTCATCTTCTTTCCATGTTACCCAATTCATCTTTATAAGATTTCAGACCAAGGATGGGCTTATCTGGTTCAGCATCTCGTTTCCCACAGTGGCCAGCCAGGTGCCTCTAGGAAGCGCCTAAGCACAGTCTGAATGCAACAGCTGCTTCCTCCGTTCTTCCTGAGCAACTGGCATTCAGAAGTATACTACCTCTAAACTGGAAGGCATCTTGTATTCATCACAACAAGCAGGCATTGATAGGCATACCCTCCATGGCTTTGTTTTTGTTCCTTTTTAAATAATCCAGGGTAGAATCCATCATTACCTCTCAAAGCACAAAGGAATTTTACTGTAACCATTTTTGTTCAAAATCAAAACAACAATTTTCACCATTTTCTTGTTTCTAGTCTGGAATAGAGAAGAGTGAAAGGTTCAAAATAACATTAGGGAACCTGTAGCCTTTTAAATGATGCTGCCCCCCCCCACTCCTACCTGTCACAAACAGCATAACCAGAATTACAAGTGCAACGTTTAAGTAGGCCACAGGTTCTCCTCCCCTGTAGCTCAACTACAATACTGCAATAATTTTGGGAAACAACCTGGCTTTCACGTCCTTAACATATTTAGAAGAAACGGTTGATTTAACAGAACTCACTAATCTTCAATGAGAGCCAGTATGGTGTAGCATCTTGAAATTGGTTCATATTCCTGCTCAGGCATGGAAACTCACTGAGGGTGGTACTAGAAAAAACACTCCTTAAACATTTCATATACCCTGATAACCCTGTTACAGTTGCCATAAATAAGATGCAGTTTGATGGTACTTTACAAGCACAATCTTTAATAGGATGGTTTTGTACTTGGGTGTGAACGGCTGTTGTTTTTCTGTGGGGACTATTCAAGAAACTCAAATCCAAACATGCTGGGCAATTCTTTGGATCCTGACCATAAGCTTTAAAAGCAAAGTGAAAAATGATATTAGTTTAGGAAAGACTGAATCAAATGTGATTGCTATCACTTAGCCTTGTTCTAAAAGCAGGTTCACATCAATGTTAACAGTGATTAGCTGTCGTGAAGGAAAAGGTTGAAAATTTTCTTTCTGCCTGCAGTGAAGCTCAAACAGTCCACAGGAACCAGAAATAATCACATCAGGAATAATCACATCAGACCTTTCATTCACAGGGTAGTAATATACTGTATAGCATGTATTATGTTATCTAATGTGCCACATGCCTCAGAAATATGCTTCCTTAACACTCAAAGTACTTTAATATAAAGAACTACTTTTGCTATGTAAAATGGTACTTTGTGGCCTTAATGATTAATTTTAAATGTAATTAGTTAGGATATCTTTATTTAATGAACTCTTTTTAAATGGTGATTAATCTGATACCTAGCATTTATATCTAGGAGTTGCTAGATTAATTTACAGTCAGAAGAAATCAGTTATAGTAAATGGACTTTAAATATTAGTTTCAAACAATAGCTGATTTTGTATCATAGGAATAAGCAGCTCATAGCCACACAGTATGATTTATTTTGTTTTCTTGTTTGTTTCATAAAAGGTTAATGGTAGGAACCTCCTTTCAGTTGACTTTGATCGGATTTCAAAGACAGAGAAGATCTATGATGACCACCGTAAATTCCTGCTGAGGATCGCCTATGACACATCAGGACATCCAACTCTCTGGTTCCCTAGCAGCAAGCTTATGGCTGTCAATGTTACATATTCATCTACAGGTCAAATTGGCAGTATCCAAAGAGGGCCCACTAGTGAAAAAGTAGATTATGATGGACAGGGAAGGATTGTTTCTAGAGTATTTGCTGATGGCAAAACATGGAGTTACACATACCTTGAAAAGGTAGAGTTTTATATTGGGAGTGGTGGGTACATGGCAATTATATTGGTACACTATTTCAGCATAAAATGGTCAAAAGGCACACCTTATTTCATGATAAAGTTTGCAGTTTTGATCTATGAAGCTGCAAAAGTCCATCATTATGCATGGATATCTGTAGTTATGAACACAAGATAACAAACTTAATTCACCTGAATTTACTGGTTTGCTGCCTATGGATGCAATATGATAGATGTTTATTGAACCTATTGGGAATGAAATGTAATTTGGATGATTTCATTTTCGTGATTTCAGTGTCATTTAAGCATATTTTCTCTTTTCAGATTTGTACCAGATTTTTATATGTTTGTACTTCAGGGGATTTTAGGGGGTTTTTTGGTATTAAAATTATTCTTACCAAAGCTGCTTATGCAGATAAAAATAAAGCCATTTAATTTAATACCATTTACAGCAGTAAAAGAAAAATATGTTACAACAGCATCTCCAGACTGATGTCTGAATTTAAGAATTGCTGGAGTATAAACAGTGTTTCACCTACCACCAAGAACAACAAATAAAACTGTAGCAGGAGAATTCCAAAGCCAAGCAACTTTACACAGACAAAAGGCTCCATCTCCAGTTACCGCCTATATCTCATCTCTTGCAAAAGTTTCCGACAGCATGATCCTATCCAAACCCTAACTAATGCACTCACATTGTGTTCCTAACGTGGCAATATAAGTTTTATCGCAGTTGCTCTAATCCTTCACTCCCCATCCTCCACAACACGTGTACCATTGTGGCTGTGAGTGCTGTATAAAGATTTGTCACCAATTTAATGTATAAGCAGAAATAACGTATGTTGCAGGGCACAGAGTATGATTTCCTGTGTCAAAAATAAAGCCAGCACTGAAAACTCAATTCCGTGTTTCATCAGTGTAGCACAGCACCCAGCTGGCACACACTCCTCTCTTCTGCTTCAGCTGTCTGACCAGTTCCTGGCAGGAGCATGGGCTTCCCTGCCCCGCCTCCTTGTCTGAGTGAGCAATCAGACAAGGAAGTGGGGCAGGGAAGCCCGTGCTCCTTCCAGGAACTGGTCAGACAGCTAAAGAGCAGGAGGAGAGGAATGCACTCCAACTGGTGAGTGGGATATTGGCCAGGAAGGCAGGGGAAGGGAATGCATGGCACTTGTGGTGCTATTCATACAAACCGGCACAAGCCTCTAAACCAAGGTTTGTGCCTATCTCTAGTTACTGGTCTTAAAGTTTAAAGGATCTTCACATGGTCATGAAATAATCACTTTTTGTTCCTGTTTTGCATGTCACTTTTCTGGGGTTGGGGGGAAAGATAGGGTTAGGTGAAAAGAGCTAGTGCCCTGTTATGAGCGATGCTGACAGCTGATACCATCATAACATAAAGCAATAATGCCCGTAATGCACAATGCTGAAGCTTTACAAAAGGAATAATTTGGTGGCTGATTAGCTCTGCAAAGCTTGATGTAAATAATGAGTGAATTGCTTTGCCCATCAGACAAATAAACATAGAAGAAGAGGTTCAGTGATCTTCGGGCTAGTAAACTTCTCACTAAATTATCTCTAATTACAGGAGTAAAATTGTCTCTTCCATATGTTGTTCCCTTCTTGAATTATTGGCTTTAAGACAGCTTCACTTTTGCCAGTATTAAACATGACTTATCCAAATCCATTGACAATCTGCCGTTCAGCTGTGAGAGCCTGATAAAAGAATGACTCAGTCACAACAAGTAGCACATTAGGAATCGGAAGCCACTAATTACAGAACCTTTTACAATTAAGTATCCAAATGAATTAGGCAGAGAATAATTACCAATATGTAAGGTCAAGGATAACTCAATTTAAATGCTGATGATTTATGCAAACAGATTGCTGCTAGCATACAGTGGTTTTGGCACTTCATTAAAAAATACCCTTTGTTTTCCCCCTTCTCAGTCTATGGTCCTCTTGCTACACAGCCAGCGTCAGTACATCTTTGAATATGACTTACTCGATCGACTCTCTGCAGTAACTATGCCCAGTGTGGCTCGCCATACTATGCAGACTATCCGTTCCATTGGTTATTATCGGAACATCTACAATCCCCCCGAAAGCAATGCTTCAGTAATCATGGACTACAATGAAGAAGGGCAGCTGCTACAAACTGCTTTCTTGGGCACCAGCCGAAGAGTTCTGTTCAAATACAGAAGGCAGACCAGGCTCTCTGAAATTCTGTATGATAGCACCAGAGTCAGTTTTACGTATGATGAGACAGCGGGAGTTCTGAAAACAGTAAACCTCCAGAGTGATGGTTTTATCTGCACCATTAGATACAGGCAAATTGGCCCACTGATTGACAGGCAGATTTTCCGTTTCAGTGAGGATGGAATGGTAAATGCCCGATTTGACTACAGCTATGACAATAGTTTTAGAGTAACTAGCATGCAAGGTGTTATCAATGAAACTCCATTGCCTATTGATCTTTACCAATTTGATGACATCTCTGGAAAAGTTGAACAGTTCGGAAAATTTGGTGTTATATATTATGATATTAACCAGATAATTTCCACAGCTGTAATGACTTATACAAAACACTTCGATGCCCATGGCCGCATAAAGGAAATTCAGTATGAAATATTCAGATCACTTATGTACTGGATTACGATTCAGTATGACAACATGGGACGAGTAACTAAAAGAGAAATAAAAATAGGCCCATTTGCTAACACAACCAAGTATGCCTATGAATATGATGTTGATGGCCAACTACAGACAGTTTACCTGAATGAGAAAATAATGTGGCGTTACAACTATGATTTGAATGGCAATCTCCACTTGCTCAACCCAAGTAATAGTGCTCGTTTAACACCACTTCGGTACGATCTAAGAGACAGAATCACTCGACTGGGTGATGTTCAGTACCGTTTAGATGAAGACGGCTTTTTGCGGCAGAGGGGTACCGAGATATTTGAATACAGCTCAAAGGGCCTCCTTACTAGAGTTTATAGCAAAGGCAGTGGGTGGACAGTGATATACCGTTATGATGGGCTTGGAAGACGAGTTTCCAGTAAAACCAGTCTGGGACAGCACCTCCAATTTTTTTATGCAGACCTGACATATCCAACAAGGATAACTCATGTATATAACCATTCAAGTTCTGAAATCACCTCTCTCTACTATGACTTACAAGGACACCTCTTTGCCATGGAGATCAGCAGTGGAGACGAATTCTACATTGCCTCAGACAACACTGGAACACCACTGGCTGTTTTCAGCAGCAATGGTTTAATGCTTAAGCAGATTCAATACACAGCCTATGGTGAAATCTATTTTGACTCCAATCTTGACTTCCAGCTGGTGATAGGCTTCCATGGAGGCCTTTATGACCCTCTGACAAAACTAATTCACTTTGGTCAAAGAGATTATGATATACTAGCAGGCCGTTGGACAACACCTGATATTGAAATCTGGAAAAAAATAGGAAAGGATCCGGCACCGTTTAATTTATACATGTTTAGAAATAACAATCCGGCCAGTAGAATACATGATGTAAAAGACTACATTACAGGTAAATAGTTTACTTGTTTCCTTCTTTACTCTTTGGTCATAGACCTGAACAAAATAAATATATGCTAATGATGGATCATTCATTTCTTATGTACTGTACATATAAATGTATGTTCTGTTGGACACATCAGCTTGGAATCATGGTGCCTAACAAGATGCTGAATATAATGAGATATACATGCTAGTAAAGCAAACCAAATTTTGCCATGCATATTCCAGCTAAGAGAGGAGGGAAACAGAGTTATGGAAGGCAAGGGTTGTGTTAAATATGCATAGTTGTTGAAGTAGACTCTCTGGGCCCTTCCTGGGCCACTTTGTCTCACAACCAATAAAGTGAAAAGATCTTCTTGCCTTTCTTAGCCATGGTTTCAAAGTTGTAGTTGACTTTATTTTCTAGTTCATCAGTGGACATTAGAAATGATCAGAAAGCCTCATAGTGAGCTCTATCCTTTTGTCTCTGGAGCATATTATATCTCTCTCAAGGGATTTAGAATTTTTTTAAAAATGCAGAAGGGAAAATGCTGTTGACGTTGATCTTTCTATGTCTGACTATACAATTACCATGGTAACCATTCATAGGCCTGTAAATATATTGAATATTATAGATCGTGTTGTGCCAGATGGCAACTTCTTATCTAAAGAGCTTGGTTGAATTCTTACCTGCATAACACCACTACAAGTGATTCCCTCTGTAAAGTGAAGCTTTCCAGGCCCTCAGCTACCAGTATGAAAAACATTATGCTATCACTTCCAGTTGCTTTTTCTGGTTATGTGTACATCTGTGTGTTAAACAGAAAATACTGTTCCTTTATTCTCTAGCTCTGACATCTTCCCTGCTACCTTAATGGAGATTATGCTCAGACTAAACAGATTCATAGAGAACCCAAAACACCAGCCTTTATTTTTTCCTGACTGGTGGCAGAGTAAATTTTAAAACACAAGTGGCCTTGGTACATCTCTTCTCTGTTGATTAAATTGTCCATTCCACAAACAGGATTCAGGCCCATTGGTGATACTGCTGAGATATGAATGTCATTTACTCTCCTTATTTAAGGCTTGTACTTCAGTTTTAGACCAGGAACTATACCTTGATATTCTTCACATAAATTACGAGATAATTTTTGCAATGCTACATAATGGGAATGGAGACCATTGTGCTCCTTCCTCATTACTGCATAATGCTATATAAAGCTCTGTCATCAGATTAGAAACAGGTCCTTATTACAGTTCAAGAATAACAACTACTGTAGATCTGTATCCAGTATCTTCAGCTTTTGATTTTTATGCTCCATAAAGAAGAGTCAAAGTAATCCCAGATCAAGCTCTCAGAAGCACTTCTGTAGGACCATGTTGATTCAAAGGGAATTCTGCCTATAAAACATTAACTTCCTGAATTTTACCTGTAGTACTCAAAAATTATTATAGTCTTGTTCCTAGTAACATCTTGACTCAATAATTTAGGGGAAGTATGGGAATCTCTTCACTTTCCGTTATTGTCCATGCTCATATTGTCCATGCAGAAGGAGGGTAAGCCTACCCTCAAGTCCACAAGTCACCCATGATTATAAGACATAACCCTTTATTGTTTGGTATTAGAAACAGATCGCTGTTATGTTGAGAAGAAAGTAGAATACTGTCTTCTCCCTTGTGCACAGTCCAGAGCAAGAGCTAGGCTTTTATGGTGATACAATGTGATATTTTGGCCTTTGCTATATATTTATAAATATATTAACCTCATCCCATCACAGAGAAACCTCTAAAACAAAATGGTATTGGATTACTTTGAGATGATTATCTATTGCATTGGATGATTCTCCCTAACTTGTTTATCAGAAAAAAGATACAGTACCTTGTACGTGACAATAGAGAAATAAGGCTAGCTTACCAGATGCCCAAATGGTTGTCTTATCAGCAGCAATGGTTTCATGAGTTGCTAGTACTGTATTAATAACATCCTTATCATTATCAGGACTTTCTATTTTTAATTTTCTTCATACAGTCCTTACCTGACCCTTTTGCATTGTGTAAGTACTTGAAATTCTGGCTAACACTTCATGCACCTGAGGAAATCAAGTGTAATCCATGACAACTCAGTCTGTAATTAAATGGTTCAACTTCAAACTGCTAGAGCTCTTTAATTAATGATCATCGAATCGGATAATGTCTACAGATGCTGTAAAAGTCAGTGAATATAGAGAACACAGTCTTTATCCATGCACCCAGCAAAGAGTTGTGCACATTGTTTGCCTAGGATCTGAGCATATGTTGCAACATTTAGCTTTGATATTTCAGATCTCCTGTTGGAATAATGAGCAAGGAAGGAGGTCCATTACCATTCTGGTTATCAAAAGTGACGGTGCTGCTCTTTGATTAGGTCTGGATACACAATCCCAACCCAGTGACAGAGGCCCAAATGCAGGTTGCAGAAATCCTCACATTCAGCTTCCAGTGTAAAGAGATAGATACTGCTCAAAATAAGAGTAATAGTATCTTCTGCATTACCATTCCATAAGAAATTAGAATAGTTAGAGCAAATAAGCTAGAAATTCTCTGTTATGTTTAATAACTCAGAGCACCACCCAGTCCCACTAATATTAATAAAAGTATTGCAGAATTACATTCAGTAAACACAGAGGGAAAGCTGATGTTCTTCTCTCCTTCTCTTACAATTGCTTTTCAGATGTTAACAGCTGGCTTGTCACATTTGGTTTCCACCTGCACAACGCTATCCCAGGATTCCCTGTGCCCAAATTTGATTTAACAGAGCCCTCCTATGAACTTGTGAAGAGTCAGCAGTGGGATGATGTACCGGTAAGGAAAAAAAAATGAAAATGCAACTATGGCAAAATTAAATAAAGAACATGATTGTTTTTGAGCTCTATAATTCTCCAAGGCTTACATGACATTTTTAAAAAGATGCTCCTAGTTGTATTTCTTTCCAAAAGATATCCACAGCCTACCTGCTAATATCCCTGTCTTTTGTGTGCATTCACTCAAGATTGTAACACATTCTACTTCGCTTTCCATAGTACTGACTAGAAATAAGAGTGGGGAAAGAACTAATCAATAAATAATAGTACTTTGAAACCTTCTTTTAGAACTGTAACTTTCCCTCTGGAAACTATGAAGATTGGATTTATACCAGCACCCCGCCTCAAGGCAGAAAGTGAACACTGTAATAAAAAAAATAGACTGTGAAATAAACAGAAGAACAGGTGATATAAATTATGCATACCAAGCACCAGTACAATTTTACTTTGCTTTAATATTAACCATGTTTTATAAGTGAAGATAAAATATTGAATGTGAAATTACCTCAGGTAAAATCCATTGCATTACATGGAGCCCAAACTCTAGGTGCCTATGAAATTTCTTTCTTTAAAAAAAGCCTACAATCAGCCTGAAAAATGTATCTGGTTTAAATGATGGACAAAAAAGAATGGAATACAAAATAGAAAAATCATACCTGCTATTTAGGAAAATAGCGATTATAAATCTTAACTATTCATAGATCAAAAGGCCATGCTCCATCAGTTTTTCAGTTTTGAGTTTCCAGCAAGGAATAAGAAACCTGAAATAGTCTTTTTAGTTCATAATGATTGCAACAGTACAATCCATACTCAAAAGATATACTCGCTGTAGCAGGTTTAGAATAGGCAGAATCCTCTTGTGCCATCACAGTGAAGTCCGCCAGCATAACAGCTGTGCCTGCTGAGATCGGCTGGCAGAAGAGTAAAAAAGGGGGGAGGGTGAAGAAGGGAGGAGCTGAGTTACACCCAGACTCAACACCAGGACAAAGGTAGGCCAGAGTCAGAGCAATCTTCAGCAATTTTCAGCATTTGCGGGCAGGAAGGGGGTTTGATTCAGCACAGCCTCAGCTGACTCATGGTCTCAACTGGCTCAACCAGCACTTAGCCCTCTTGATTAGTTAGGATTGCACCCTAATTTACTTGACTATTAAAAATAAAGGAACAAGATGCTTTTACATGATACATAAGCCAAAAGTCATGTATGTGTCAACCTTCCAATTGCTTTAATAAAGAGAAAAATCGCATACCCCTCCCAATTTATAAAAGGATATCACTGTAAACTTTCCCTACTCTAGGTAAAACTATACTCAAGCTCTGCATGGAAGTGGGGGGGGGGGAAGGACCCCACATGTTCCCAATAGTTTCCATTCATTATGACTAACAATCGAGACATTATCCAAAGCTGTAAAGTATTTGTCATTTCCTGGTTAAGAATAATAATTAAGGTCCTTTAAATGCTGTTGTAACACATATACATGCAAACACAAAGCAAGAGTGGAAGCAGAAAATGGAGCAAAGAACATTTTGGAAACAAGAAAAATTAGTAACTGTGAGCCACCATTTCTTTAGTGTGGACTACCCTTTAGTTTCTAAATATTTTGCATTTCCTTACAATCCTTAGATCTTCTTGTCTAAAGTGTATAAACAAAGACTAGAAGCAGGAGAATGTATGACTACTTGGAAGGAGTTAATATAAACTCAAACTTGTTCCAACAGAGATGATTGGTGTTTTTGCTTGCACAGAGGTAATCTCTATTTAGGGAACATATTATATGGGAAACATATGAACCAAGACCAGAACAGAACAGACTTGAGTCTTTAAAGATGGGACTGCTCCACTCACCTGTAAAAGTAGTAAAAGGGGTCGGAACAAAGTATAGTCTACTTAAGGGGAAACTTCAGACACAGAAAATGTCAGCCCTTAAAACTTACACATAACCCCTTTTACCTGTTTCATTTATACTCTTCTCTGTGATGTGTGGTCTCTTATATAGCTTAAGCCTATTTTCTTATTACACTAATTCTGTAGGTTTGTGCCAGCCCTTGAAAAAAACCAGTTAAGAGCTGCAGCAAACTGTAGAAACCTTCTCTTACCACTCAGAACAGATGAGAAAGAAAGCTTCACAGTTAAAAGCAGAGCTACCTTGAGCAGTTAGAAAATGTGATTATCTTCTAGCATTGTTTTACCAGTTGGCTTACTCTTACTTCTTTTTTAACTTTTAAGAATCTTTTGTTTATTATTAGAAAAGAAAATCACATTTGGCAGCCAAAGAGCCCTATATTTTAAAAATTTCAAAAGTTCTCTTGCAGTCTGACCCTGCGCAGGCTCACCCTCAATACAATGACACACTGAGTTCCTACATTACTCTTACTTAATTAGTCACTGGGAAGAAAGAACAGGTCCTGTTTGCATGTTGATTTTGTAAACACAGGAATCTTGAAGAATGTGACCCTTGAAGGAATAATGTTTAGTCCATTTCTAATTACAAAGCTGCCTCCCTATTTCTGCTCTTGACTGTATCAGTCAGCCACAGGGCTACTATAGATGGCTTTCGGGGCAGAGAGATATGTTGCCTTTATTGAAGTACTTGCTTGAGAGGAGAGGTGATAAGCAGTCTTTTTAGAATAGACCTAATGCCTGTGTGGGGACGTGGTGGCGCTGTGGGCTAAACCGCAGAAGCCTGTGCTGCAGGGTCAGAAGACCAGCAGTCATAAGATCGAATCCACGCCACGGAGTGAGCTCCCGTCGCTTGTCCCAGCTCTTGCCAACCTAGCGGTTCGAAAGCATGCAAATGCAAGTAGATCAATAGGGACCACCTCGGTGGGAAGGTAACAGCGTTCCGTGTCTAAGGCACACTGGCCATGTGACTACGGAAGATTGTCTTTGGACAAAACGTTGGCTCTGGCTTGGAAACGGGGATGAGCACTGCCCCCTAGAGTCAAACACGACTGGACAAAAATTGTCAAGGGGAACCTTTACCTTTACCTAATGCCTGTGTATTAGGACAGTGTGTTAAAAAAAAGAAAAGTTTGATAGCTTGTTCAAATAATCACGATAACCAGCTGGATATATGAAACAGAGGATGCAGTGAGATGATAAGAAAGAACCTTTTCTGATCATATCAGAAAGGGTTGCTGTGCCAGGTGTGATCTCCCTTAAAGCAGCCCTTCCATCCATCAAAGAATTGCTCCAGTCTGCCCCCAAAAAACAGAGTAGCCCTAAGAAGTCCTGCTTGGACACAGTTCAGGGCACGGCTGAAGCACTATTGGCCATTCATTGTGTGATCACAGGGAAATAGCTCACCCCAGACTGTACCACAAGCAGTTCAAAATGCAAGTTATTTCCCCGTCTGATAGCACCCTGAGATGTGATGAAATTGGCTTCATTTTAGACTGCAGCGTCCCTGTATCATGGCCAGTAAAATTAACATTCAAAAATAACTCTTATCCATCTCTGTTGTGAAATATTTATTCAGGATAGAATTTAGTTATTTGATCTTGGTATCAAGTGATCATTTCATCAGTTATTATATACCACCTACTTCACATAGGTATATGTAACCTGATCTTAGGAGAGTCAAAATGCATAATGTTCAGGTTAAATGTCAACAAGCCTCCAGTAGGCCTAATACCTCCAGTTTGTGGATGATATTATGTAAGAAGAGAAAATAATCCATGATAATCTGATCCTAAGAACTGCTCCAATGCAGTTTTATGTGAGTGGAGTAATATATGAGCAAACCTGGGCCCTTCATCTTGGGACTGTCTTCATTTCTACAAAAGGATGAGGTGGAAGAAAATTACTGGAAATCTAAAGGCTGAGATCAGGTGTTCTCGTCCAGTCAAAAATGGCTTTTGTGTCTCTTAAGAATTTGTAGTATAAATGAATATAACCCTTTGTTTAGCCATTTGCAAGCCAACTGAAGCTAGCTCAACAATATAGTGTTATGAACAGTGTTGGACTAGGTCTTAGGAGATCTGAGTTCCTGCTGAACTGTGGAAAAGTATGGGGGGCTTCCACAGGTAGAATTGCTCCTTAAATGTCTCACACATATCCCAGAAACCCTACGAGGTCAGAAGTAGCCTAACAGCATAAAACACTCCTACAATAAATTTTAAATAAACATAATTGTCCTCCTTGTACAGTCCTTTAATTTTTTCTGTGATTTGACTCAGTGCAAGGATTTTTATTGTATTTTATTTTTTATATTCTCTTGGAGACAAAAACATGACAAAATCATTGAACAATATAAAACAAAATAGCTTGTGAAACAGTGGAATCCAGTATGCAGATTCAAAAAACTTCTTGGCAATGTGAGTTGTGGCATAACCGACTGTCAACTCCAGGCAACATGCCAATAAATGCAGGACTGTTGGAGTCTAGGGGCTACAGATGGTTTGTAAAACTTCTGTCTCTTCTTGTTTTCAGCCAATTTCTGGAGTGCAACAACAAGTGGCAAGACAAGCAAAGGCTTTCCTGTCCCTGGGAAAGATGGCAGAAGTCCAGATCAGCAAGCGCAGACCTGGCGGTGAGAAATCATGGTTGTGGTTTGCAACTGTGAAGTCTCTCATTGGGAAAGGGGTGATGCTTGCTGTCAATCAAGGCAAAGTGCAGACGAATGTGCTCAACATTGCAAATGAGGATTGTATCAAAGTAGCGGCTGTTCTAAACAATGCATACTACCTGGAAAACTTGCATTTCACCGTTGAAGGAAAAGACACTCACTATTTCATAAAGACAACCTCACCAGAAAGCGACTTGGGCACACTGAGACTGACAAGTGGCCGGAAGGCCTTGGAAAATGGAATCAATGTCACCGTTTCTCAGTCCACCACCGTAGTTAACGGCAGGACTCGTAGGTTTGCTGATGTTGAAATGCAGTATGGTGCACTGGCTCTCCATGTCCGCTATGGCATGACTCTTGATGAGGAGAAGGCACGGATATTAGAGCAGGCTAGACAAAGGGCTCTTTCCAATGCCTGGGCCAGAGAACAGCAGCGAGTGAGAGATGGAGAGGAAGGTGCCAGGTTGTGGACAGAGGGAGAAAAGAGACAACTGCTGAGTGCTGGAAAAGTCCAAGGATATGATGGGTACTATGTACTCTCCGTGGAGCAATACCCCGAATTAGCAGACAGCGCTAACAATATACAGTTCCTTAGGCAAAGTGAGATTGGGAAAAGGTAACACACTGGTTGAGCCTGGACTGCCAAAGAGAATGACTCTATGCCAGTGTCTCTTCTTGTTTGGGAGACCAAATGGTTTTGCTGCATCACTACTTGAGCCTAAATGTACATCTTTGCTCAGATTTTTCTGTAGCACAATCTGAATAGACTCTACAATAAAGAGAGATCCTTCCAGAAGAATGATATTGCTGAAAAGAAAAACTGGGTGTGTGTTTTTCTGAATAACCTTAAAGGTGATCTGCTTTAAAGAATATGTTTACATATGCATATCGCTGCACTCAAGTTGGACTGAAATTATTGAAAAAAGACTGAAGGGTTTGCAATGAGCTGCCTGTTCTTTGAGGCACTGTCTTTAACTAAGAAACAGATCAGTGTTTCCAAATATTACTAAATTTTTGACCTTTGCTTAAAAGAAATAATCTGTGTTTCCTCCTTTTCCTCCTCTCTCTCCCTTTCTCTTGCTCTCTTCATCTTTCTGCATAGGATGTGGTATATATCTCTGTTCATTTTAAAATGTGGGGCAAAACCTCCTTGTTTATGGACCCCAATGGCTTTAAACTGTGCTGCTTTCTAAAAGGACATTGGCACAAGCAAATTTATGCTACAATGGGAATTTAATAATGGATTTTACAATGATAATGGGGTTTGCCTTGGGGTGGGGGTGGCAAGTAGAGTCCTTGTCACAGAGAAGCAAAGGAAACCTTGATTTTTTTTGTAAATTATGTGAGACGAGTTGTTTATGGATTTTTATATGAATTACAATTTACTGTACATCAAATATTAGTCTCAGAGGAGTTAATTTATGTAAAGTGTTTAAAAAGGTTTATACTTAAAATAAAATGATAAAAATGTGCAGTGTGTGAATTTCTTTAATGGAATTGCACCTTTTGTTATGTTATAGCTGTACAGTATAAAGAGTTATATTGTAGAGATATAACAGTGTATAACTAACGGACAGAAGTGTTAATATTTTTGTATTAGTTTTAAAAAACGGTGCATTTTTCTCTTGATCACTCCTGAAAGGATGGAGTGGTCCCAAATTTGTAGGCAACTGGGCCGCAGCTCCTTTCCCTTTCTCTGATTTTGCCCAGTCCTTTAGGTGCTCAGCTTCATCATGTGAACTGCTAAGAGGGAGCGCGACTCTTTATTGTGACTGAAGTCCTCTGTAGTCTGGGCTTGCCTAGTCCTTTCCCAAGCCCTGAAGGTGCATTCATTCATGCATTCTTTCATTCTGCAGCACTTTGTTTTTGTTTTTAAATGTGGGTGGGATGTGAAGCATTGTCAAGTAATGATAAAATGTTTGTTTACTTAGAAGTAAACCTCCCTGCATTCAGCGGGGCTTACTCTCTAGTGAGTCAATTTAAAAATGCATCCTTGGATGCTTAGGAAATATACATGAATAGCAAGGGTGTAATGCTTGCCACAAACTTGTATAATCTGTGGGGCAGGGCTTCCACCTTTGTCTTCTCTATGAAAGACACGCTTCTTAGTAGTTCACTAAAGAAAAAGGGAAACTAGCAGCAGTTGTAATATGGGTAGATTTGTGGGCTAAACACATACTCTGCCCTTTACATTTCTTTCCCACTAACAAGTTGTTATGTAGAACTTCAGAAGGGAAAAGAGAGAGTTTTAGCTTATTAGTGCCTAATTCACAACACACTCTTTGGTAAGGCCATCCAGTCTATTCTGTTAAATGTGAAAAGTGTAGATAGCAGAACGTAACTTGGATCTTAGCTGAGCTAGATTTCAGTGCCAGGTCTTTACTGTGGAGCATCTGAAGGAACAACAAAAGAGAATGCTTCTGAACCAATTCTAAATCATCTTTCTCTCTGCTGAATAACCACCAGCATTTGTTGCCCTATGTCTAGAAGAATTCCCATTCCACAGAATAAAGGTTTCTATTGGGCTAAACCCCTCATTTATTGACAAACCAGTCAATGAGAGACAACTGCCTCTTGTGGATTTTACAAAGGCTAATAATTGGTTTCAGAAGGATCCAGATTATATCATATCTGTGGCCTCACACTATTCATTCTGTCTTTTCCAGAAGCACAGAATTAATTTACTTTTCCAAAATACTAAGAGCCTCTGCTTTTTTCAAAAAGGGAATCCCTTAACTGTACAGAGTTAACATTTCAAAAAACAATACCCACACGTACAGTGCTTGGTAGTCTCATATACTAGGAAATCTGCACTAAAGCAGTCTTTCATTGCTGCCTCAGCGATTTTTAGATATATTACAGTTCTAAAACACTCAGTTTTTGCAATTGGATTGAATCATGCATGATTAAAAATGCGTTCTTTTTTTAAAAAAATGCATCCTTTGTAAGTGGGTAAGGAAAAGAAAGGGAGATAACAATTTTAAGGACACTTTGTCCAACAGCTTTTCTGAAAAAAGCCCTGGCATCTTTGTGCTATATTCAGCTGCAAAGTCTTTTAAAAATTGTTTACCCAAGGCGGTATGTGTGTTAATTTTCAATGTGCTGTACTCAGTATTGAGAATGGTAATAAATGGCCAGTGAATGTGTCTTAATCATATTGAGGGAGTTATGTACCTAGAATAAAAATAGTTTTCTGACTGCTTTCTGCCCTGAGATTCTATGGTATTATATGTGTTCTCAATTGCACAGCAGGACTCTTGCCAAACAGGCTGTGAGTAGGTCAAGCAAGTTACTGAAGCTGCATTATCAGTGCTATTACTGTCTGTGTCCCCTTTGGATAGAACCTAAAGAACTGCTGACATTTAGAACAGAAGTTGTCATTTTCTTAAATTTAAAGTGCAAATAATGGTTAGTTTGCTGTCATTTTTTCAACCACCAAGGATCCCACATTCAGGAACTAAGTTCCATTTAAACCATGGATCAGTGCCAGTATTTCCATGTTATTATTAATCTGGGCAATGCAAGGTGTCTTTGCAGTTCCTATGAGGCAGGGTTTGAACAGCACTGTATCTCAGGACTGCAAGTGTTATCCGTGGAATTAAGCCCAGGCTCAAAAATGTAGCAGAACTTTGTCATTTCTTTGAAATACTACAAAAATATCCTGTGTATAACATGTCGAAATGGAACTAAAAAGTCTGCTTGATATGTGTCCTTGCACTTTCCACCTGATGTTTGATAATCCAAACAATGATATCTTTCAATGCTAATTTCAAATGGAGGCCAGTTAGCAGCCTTATTAGTAGGTACAGAATAAGTGCTTTTCATACAGAAAAGCAACCCTTTTGATTTGGACCTGCTCTGACATTAGACACTGATTTGGGGGAATATGTAAACAAAAATACATTTAAAAAAAGAAAATGAAGAAATGTATTAAAATAATTAGATTACAAAATAAGGAGATTCAGAGTATTTTAGGCAAAGCCAATCAAAATGCTTTCATGCTATATTGAAATGTAAATTTTGTCTGATTTGTATTGTTCTTTTAATTTGCCTTCCTAACTTTATATGTGTCCTGACTTTTTCCACAACTTGATGACTATAGATTGCATCTAGGCTTTCCAATAAAAGCCAAGCCAATGTGTCTGTGTTTAGATTTGTTTTCTTAACTATGTGTGTCAAGCATTATCTCTATTACTGCTTTTCTGTCTCTGCTTGGAGATGCAAAGTGAGCTGGTTGTACTAGTATTGATTTCATTTGCTACACATTTGGGAGTTACTCTCCCCACACACCCCACTCTACCCCCACACAGTGGTGACACCATGGACTCAGCAAAGCAAATTACTTCATGCGCTCTCCAATGGCCTACTTTTCAGAAACATTAACTACCTCTCAGGTAGTTGAGCATCACAAAGTTAAGACAGAAGTAAATGAAGGTGGCTTAAAACTCATGACAAGAATCTCAGGTCTTAATTAAAGCAGCTGATTATAAATAAACAACTTGACCCTGATAGTTACTCAAATCCTGGAGATCTTTCAATCCACTTTTACACCACCTCACCAGAAAGTACTGCCTTCAAAACACCCAGTGAATGTATATATCTGACAACAGCATGTTTTGATGCTAGTTAGAATAGGCAGGCTTCATCACACTTGCTTTGCAGTGACAACTGCAACTTGATAACATGTTGATCCAGCACAAATCAGGTCACTCTGTGTAGCTGAGTGTGACCTATTTTTAAAAAATTATTTGCTAGTCACAGGACTCTATTTTCACACATCAACAATGAGAGACATGTATCCTCCATTTTTCAAGGAAAAGAATCTTGTTCCATGCTTAGAGTAAGGAATTATACTTCACACTTTAGGAGCGTTTCAAGTGTTTCACACACATTATCTTGCTAAAAGCCCTTGTAACAAACCTGCAAGGTACATCTCCATATTGGAGGCAGAAAACCTGACACAGGCAAAAAAAGAGCCACTTGCCTGAAATCTGCTTTGTGTGTTCATGTCAGAAACAAGATTGGAGTGAAAAACTAACTGAGCTGGCAGTAGTCACACTGGTCATGATGGCTGTGGTATTTATGCAAGTTGTACTGTACTCCCAAAAGTAACATCTGCAAACCCTGCAAAGGAATTTCCTGGTTTGTAGTAATTGTTCCACCACAATGCTACATCAAACCCCCACAGCTTCAAATATTTTTAAAGAAAGTAATATACTTATTCCCAAATTTTTGACAATGTGATCTCAACTGTAGTCAGTAGTACAAAACACAATTCAGACACTTTCCTTATTAAATGCCTACTTTGACTTGAGGGTAGCAAAGAATGCAAAACAGCAAATGTTTTCATAAGCTGTTAATGAGCTGTCTCATCTTTCAGATGTTAAAAATGCTTGTTACTTAGTCTTCCCTCAGCTCATGGCTCGATTAGACTAGAATGCTATCACAGGTCTCACGTTCTCATAGGCAGCAGTGATGAGTTGCCCCCTGGCCTTGTAACTTCTTGTTCAGTACATTAAGCTCATGTGTGATATCAAAAAGAAAAGTTAAGTCCATGAGACCATTTGGGATCACTTAGCACAGGAACAGCCACTCCATCCTTCTCCATGAAGGCTTTCACTTCTGCTCTCAACTCAAAAACTCTCTTCAGTATGTTTCCCCTGCTGAGCCAACGTACCTCAGTGAAGTAGAGCCCATCCCCATATTCCGACTCAATTTCTTCTAAAAAAGCACGGAACCTTCAGTGCTTTAAGCCCCTGGATCTGATTTGGTTGATGCATTTCACAACACAGACATCACATTGTCAAACTTCAGGTATTTGCTGCAAAGGGGTTAATGAGCTGTCTCATCTTTCAGATGTTAAAAATGCTTGTTACTTAGTCTTCCCTCAGCTCATGGCTCGATTAGACTAGAATGCTATCACAGGATCAGCCATGAAGTACTTGATGTTGGTGTAAGAGCTCAATATAACCTTGTTGTGAGACCCATGTCCAGGACAGACAGCTACATATGGGGCTCAAATATGGGGCCATCACTGATAGTGTCTCATCTTTCAGATGTTAAAAATGCTTGTTACTTAGTCTTCCCTCAGCTCATGGCTCGATTAGACTAGAATGCTATCACAGGATCAGCCATGAAGTACTTGATGTTGGTGTAAGAGCTCAATATAACCTTGTTGTGAGACCCATGTCCAGGACAGACAGCTACATATGGGGCTCAAATATGGGGCCATCACTGATAGTAAGTGTTTGGTAGCCGAGAAGGTACCACACTGATTTGTCTGAAGAAAATACTATGTGGAAGTGACCATCAAACTCTAGCAAAGTTCTCACTGTGGCTGGATGCTTCATGCCTTAGTAATTTTTTGTTCAGGGATGGACCAGTTCTATGTGGATCTAGAGCAGGGGTCTCAAACTCATTTACCTGGAGGCCGCTGGAGACAGTCTGGGTGAGGCTGGGCCCCATCAGGTTTTCCACAAGAAAAAATGTGTTTAAAAATTTCCAATTTTCTTAAATCTCTTTATTTTTATTCTTAACACAAAATAAGATACAAAACAAACAAAT